ATTTATTTTTCTATTTATTCTGAAAATTCGATTTTCTCTACGGCAACCCTAGATCTGATTAGTTGTTAGTTTTCTCATCTTCTTCCCCACCCTCTTTTCTTATTTTCTTATTTATTTTATTTATCTTTATTTATTCTGAAAATTCGAATTTCTTGGCGGCAAACCTAAATCTGATTAGGTATTAGTCTTTCTTGCTTTCGGCACACGTTTTGATCCCGTGAGGGTAACGAAGTGCTGCCGAAATTTTCTGATTTTCTCTTAGTCTTTTCGGCACACGTCGACCCCATGGGGGTAACGAAATACTGCCAAAATTTTTGAAAAAAAAAAAAAAAAAAAAATCAGATAACCCATTTCTCCCCACCTCCTCACACACTTATTTACTTATTTATTATTTCCTTATTTATTTTTTGAAATTTTTTTTTTTTTTTTTTTTTGCGGCATCTCTAGTGTGCTCACCTCGGTCTCTCCTTTTCCCTTGGCACATTCTTGACCCCGTGGGGGGTAGGGAAMTGCTGCCGAAAATTTTTAAAAAATAAATATTGTTTCCCTTCACATCTCTTTACTTATTTATTTAATTATTTTTCTTATTTATTTATTTTCTTATTTATTTTTATTTTTCTCTCGAAATCTCGCTGTTTACTTATTTTTCTCTCGTCTCCCCTCCCTTATGCTTGCTATTTTACTTTCTTGATTAGATCACCGGTACCCTACCCTAGCCACTTAAACCTCGGTTAGGGTTTTCTTAGGGTTTTTGTAGGGTTTAAGGTTCCTCAAAACCCCCCTACTTCCCCGTCCTCTTCGGGCACCCTGGACCCGAACCACCCCTCCCCCTTTGACGGCGCCCGTACTAGCCTTGCTAGCGCCGTTCGCCGCTTTCTACCGCGGACTTCCCCCTACGCCTTTCGCTCACGCGGACCTCTTCTGGCCCCCTCCAGTCCGGTCCGTCATCTCCCCATGGCCAACGGTGCGTCACACGCTGCCGACACGGCAATGACCACGGCATCGAGCTCCACACCCGTGCCGGCGGACCAGGGCCATCAGCCCCAGGGGGATCTACACACCCTCCTCACCTCCCTCCTTGCGCCCATCCAGGCATAACTCGCGACCCTTGCGCCCATCCAGGCGCAACTCGCGACCCTCGCGCCCTCATAGGGGCAGGGGGAGACCCTTGCCGACGGCATGCAGCAACTCCAGGACGCTGAGTGTCCGTCATCTCCTGGCTCCCAGTCCGGGTCCCTCGTCCTCCGACAGGGTGGCCACGGCGGAGCTTCCTCCTCCGTTGCCCCTGACCCGGCCATCTTGGTGACTGTCCACTAGCACGACGGCCACAAGTAGCCAGACCCCCCCTTAGTCTACGGGCGCACCCGCCCAGATCCCGGTCACTACGGCCACGGTACAACAACCCGCTACCATGGTCTCAGCTTTTCCGGGTGCCCCGTCCCCTTCGCATGACCGCAGCGCCACCTGGCTTTCCCCCGTCTGGGATGCCCCGCGCCACTTGTGCATCCTCCCCCTCCACTCTTCCTCCTGCCACCCCTCGATCGACCTACGTTCGAGGTCTCGCGGATGAAATTGCCCAGCTTCGGGCTGACCTCGCCCTCTTACGCCTTCAACCACCCCCACCCTCACAGGTGGCCGCGCCTTCGGGCGCACCCTCCACCTCCTCTACCCTTCCTCCCATGCAGGCTCGCTTTCCGCGCCCTGCACCCTATACAACTCCTTTTTACCTTCTTCCTACTCCCGCGGTTGCTGCGACCTCTTCTATCGCAGCACCCTCGCAGCCTGCCTCTGTTGCCACCGCCGCTCCCCCATGCGGCCCGGGCGCACAGTCAGTTGCGCCCCTTTCTCCAGGACATGCGCCGACTTACTCAGCCGTGGCACAGGCCTCCGCTCCTCGATCCCCTCGCCGCCAAAACGGTGGCGCACCACTCATCCGCTTGTCAGACATTGCCTTGTATGACGGTACAGGCATACGCGTGTCTCGGTGGCTGCAGTCTGCCACCCGCACACTCCAGCTCATGGGCGCCACACCCGAGACGTGGGTGGGTCACATCTCCACGCGCCTGCGTGGCGGTCCTTTCGAGGCCTGGGAGGATTTCTATGCCTACTCCCTTCGTGAGGGTCGGACTCCGACCTTCGTGGATTTCCAGGCGTTCCTCGAGGATCGCTTCGGAGCCCGATACGACGTGACTGACGCCTTCGAGCGTGTCATCACTACACGTTGGTCCGGCTCTGGTGGTGCTGCCGGCCTGGATCGCCACATCCAGGTCTTTCAGGACGCCCGCCTCGTTTAAGACGTGGCGTTCCTCCCCAAGACTACCCTTATCGATCGTTTCTTGGCCAGCCTTCCGCTCGAGTACCGCTCCGAGCTATGGCGGTACGAGTTCACATCGGCCCCACAGGCTTACGAGGCCGCCAGGGACCACCAGCGGATGCGAGCCCGTCTTCACCCCGCCTCCTCCTCCCAGCCCCAGCGCACGGGCTACGCCTCCTCCTCCTCTCACGGCACATCCCAGCGCCGTTCCCCTTTCCGCGGTCGCCCCCGCCGTTCCACGCAGCAGGGCCGCCACTTCTCGCGCCGCTTCTGCGCACTGGAGTATGGTGAGCAGGACGCTGTTGCCCCACTGTCACCTGAGGGCGACCACAGCGACGACCTCGATCTCTGCGAGGCCGTCCACTATCACTTGGAGGACTCTACCCTCCCTGCAGCTGAGCGCCTTCAGCTCGCGCTCTTCGCCTTCTCTCAGGCACGCAGCCGCCCCGGTCATGCTCGCGCGTCGCCCCCCGAGGTCCCTCAGGAGGACCTCCCTCAGGGCTTCGTCCCTCCTCGCGGTGTCCTTTCCGCTGAGGAGCGCGCGACTATTCTGGGCCGACGTGGGTGTTTGCGCCGCCGCTTGGACGATCATACCTCCTCGCGGTGCCTTTCTCGTCAGCGTCGTGCTCAGTTTCCCCCCGGCGCCTCACGTCCCCGCGGCGCCTCCTAGCCACGGTGCAGTGCACACCTGCTCCCTCCTCAGTAGTGGGCTTCCCGACATATCCGTCGCGGTTCCCCCCTCTCGCTACTGGAGTTGAGGTATCGCATGACTTGACAGAGTGTACTCAGCCCTCTGTCGCAGTACCGTCTGCACCTCCGCAGACCACCGTCTCCTCTCCTTCCCCGCCACGACTACCGACGCGTCGAGCCATTCGCTCAGCCCGTTGCAGCGAGCAGCTCACGACTCGCGAGGATGTTGTGTCCTCTCTTCTCGACTTGAGCATGCTCCAGGCTCGTCAGGAGCGACTCACCCTCTATGTCGCTGCACTGTGTCGCCTTCTCGCCATCCTCTCTGACCCTGATCGCACCCTCCCGATCATCCCAGTACGACTCGGGACCTCCACGAGGGTGTACTCCGCGCTGTGGGATTTCGGTTCTCAGGGCGACTTCATTCACCCACGCGTGGTGAAAGAAGCTCGCTTACCCACGACAGGGTCTCCAACTCCCATCTCCGTTACCTTAGGGGATGACAAGACCCGGCGCTTCTTCGATCAGACGGTCACCGACCTCCCTTTCTTCCTCACTCTCGAGCCGACTGATCGTTCCCCGGCGTCTCGTCGCCACCGCTCCTCTGCACATTTTGATGTGATGGAGACGGGGTACGACTTCATTCTCGGCACTCCGTGGTCTCGTCGGTTCCGCAGCACCGAGGCCGATTGGGCGACCAACACTCTCGTTCTCAAAACGAAGTGTGGACAGACATATCGCGTACCTTTCATAGGTACCACTGCGACACCGCGCCCTGATCCTCCTCTCCCGGAGCCTTCTGTGCCCACACCATCTCCTTCTATCACTGTCACTTCGCCTCGGCAGTTCGCCCACTTCATCCGACAGGACGACGTCACCTTCTTTATGGTGAACATGACGGATCTCTTACACTATGATCCACCCTGTCCCGACGCCGAGCTCCTCCCTCTGGAGCCAGATCCTCCTTCTATCTCCATGGCTCCCATCTTTACTTCCGTCCCTCCGCCGTCCGTCGAGTCCACCTCGTCGTCGCGCGCTGACGCTGAGGAACTCGCACGATATACGGCTGACTTGGAGCCCGCAGTTCGTGACCTCATCCGAGAGTACCACGACGTTTTTCCATCGTCGTTCTCGTACGCCGGCATCCCACCGATGCGTGACGTCGAGCACTCCATTCAGCTTGTGCCTGACTATCGTGTTCACCACCAGGCACCCTACAGACTCTCGATCCCCGAGGCCACCGAACTCAAGCGTCGGCTTGAGGAGCTCTTGACACTGGGTTTCATTAAACCCAGCAACTCCCCGTGGGGTGCACCCGTCCTCTTTGCTCGCAAAGCGGACGGAACTCTCCGTCTCTGCATCGACTATCGCGGTCTCAACCTCTACACGGTTAAGAACAGCTACCTCATGCCTCGTTCCGATGAGCTGTTTGACCGCCTAGCAGGCAACCGCTTCTTTACGAAGATTGATCTTCGTAGCGGTTACCATCAAATCCGCGTCGCTGCAACCGACCAGCCGAAGACCGTGTTCCGATCGCAATTCGGCCACTATGAGTTCACGGTGATGCCATTCGGCCTCACTAATGCTCCCGCTACCTTTCAGAGGGCGATGAATGACATCTTCAGGGACATCCTGGAGCAGTACATTCTCGTCTACCTCGACGATATCCTGGTCTACAGTCGTACCCTTGAGGAGCACCTCAGACACCTCCGCGACGTCCTTGACCGCTTGTGCAGACATGACTTCTACGCCAAGCTGAGAAAGTGCCGCTTTGCCCAGCACAAAGTGGATTTCTTAGGACACTACGTGTTTTACCAGGGTCTCCACATGGACGACGTGAAGATCACTGCTATTGCGGAGTGGCCCACCCCCATATCCGCCAAGCAGCTTCGCAGCTTCCTAGGCCTGACCAGCTACTATAGTAACTTCATTCGGGGATACGCTAGGTATTCCTACGTCCTTACCTCCACCCTCCTCCGGAAGAACCCACCCTGGGCTTGGACACCCCTCCACGAGGACGCCTTCCTCGCCCTCAAGAAGGCGGTGACATGCGCACCGGTTCTTCACCCACCCGATTTTGACCGCCCTTTTATCCTTACCACGTCAGACTTTGTTGTAAGAGCAGTGCTTTCTCAAGTCTTCCCTTCATCTCCTGATTCCTCTCATCCTCGTATCCCTCGCTTCCCACCATCTACCCCTACCACTGCTTCCCGACTGACGCCTACTCGTCCAGCTACTGACGAACCCTCTATTGACTATTCTCCTACCATCGCCGAGGACGGCACTGTCGAGTCTCGCTCAGGTGATTGTCCGATAGCCTTCTACTTCCGTCAGCTTCTGCCCGCCGAGATAAACTACACTGCAGATGAACAAAAGGTTCTCGCAGTAGTTTATGCCGCTCGGCACTGGCGTCATTACCTGCACGGGGCACCATTCACGGTGCGCACGGACAACTTTGTTGTCCAGGCTTTTCTGACAAAGCCGAAGTTCACTTCTCGACAGGCTCGCTGGTGGCGCGACCTATCCGAGTTTAGTTTCACCACTGAGCACATCAAGGGTGAGACTAATCGGGTTGCAGATGCCTTATCCGGGCGCCCTGACCACAACCAGGAGCACATCCAACTCTCTTCCATCTCGGTCACCGCTGTCCACCACTCGGTGATCGACGAGTTTCGCACTCAGTACCGCCACTGCCCCGACTATCGCGACATCCACGTGACCCTTCGGAGCGGCAAGACCGTCCCGAACTACTCTCTCGGGGACAACAGTCTTGTGTACTGGCACGGTTCACAGGGCACCAGAGAACCCCGTATTTGCGTTCCTTCCACTGGACAGCTACGTGTCCGAGCAGTAGCAGAGTTCCATGACCAGGCAGTTGCCGGTCATATGGGCTTCCACAAGACGTTGGCTCGTATGAGCCGCCTGTACGTCTGGCCGAAGCGCAAGGACTTTGTGAAGGACTACGTCGCAGAGTGTCCCACCTGTCAGGAGGTGAACAGTGCGAACCACTTGCCTTATGGTTTGCTCCAGCCTCTTCCTATCCCTGAGGGTCGTTGGCAGTCCATCTCGATGGACTTTATCGGTCCCTTTCGTCCTCCGACCCCTCGCGGTCATGATGCTATCCTGGTCGTCGTCGACCGGTTCACGAAGCGTGCATGCTTTGTTCCGTGCCGCTATGCCATCAGTGCACGTGAGGTCGCCGACATCGTGTTTGACCGAGTCGTGCATGACCACGGCTTACCTCTGAGCATCATATCTGACCGTGACCCGCGCTTTACTAGCCGATTCTGGCGACGGCTCCACGAGGTGTACGGCACTCAGCTCCGCTTCTCCTCGTCTTACCATCCTCAGACCGATGGTCACACCGAGATCACGAACAGGACTCTCGGAGATATTCTCCGAAAGATTGTTCGTGACGACCAGCAATGGGATCTCCATCTTGCCCACGCGGAGATAGCCTACAACCACGCCGTTTTGCCAGCCACGAGGATGTCGCCTTACTATTGCGACCTCGGCTATCACCCGCGTGTTCCCGCGGACTTCCTTCGACCGTCCCAAATGCACCCCGACACGAGTTGTCCCGTGCTGGATGTTTGGGTTGCACACATGACGTCGATTATGAAGACCGCACATGAGCACATAGCCGCTTCCCAGACTCACATGGCAGCACGTGCGAACCGATCGAGGATGGATCACCCATTCAAGGTCGGTGATGATGTGCTTATCGACGCCCGCTACTTACAGCTCGAAGCGGACACGCTTCGCAAGTTTCGGTGTCGCTTCTTTGRCCCATGCCGCATCCTCCAGGCCGTCGGTTCTGATACGGCATCTAGCCCGGTCAGCTTTCGTGTGAAGCTGCCCGACTACCTACGCBAGGCTCGTGTGCATGATGTCTACCACGTCTYGKTACTGBGTCCTTACYGCAGACCGTCTGAGCGTTTCGCTGGACGACCATACGAGCACCCTCCACCCATCATGGTGGACGGCCACGAGGAGTTCCTCGTTTCAGACATCATTGGTCGTCGAGTCACCGAGGACTATCCTCCCCACGTTGAGTATCTCGTACATTGGAAGGGTTCGCCTGATGAGGAGGCTACCTGGGAGCCCCTCGAGCACTTGCAGCACGCTCGCATGTTGGTGCGTGCTTATGACCGTGCTCGTCGTGTTGGGTTCACTGCTCCTCCTCAGCCCACTGACCCTCCTCCTTCTCCCCCGGCTGAGGAGACCGCTGAAGTCGAGCCTGCTCCATCTGAGGCAGACCTTCAGCAGCAGCCGGATGCTTCTGAGCGTCCACAGCGCACTCGTCGTCGTCCTGATCGATACAACGATTGACTCTGACTTACCTTCCCACGTCCTTGACTTCTTAGTACTCCATCCACTCCAGTTTTGCTTCTTCGGCTCGTCGACGTTGCGGCTCTTCCTCGACGGCATTCCGGACTTCTCATCGTGGACGTCATCGGCAGCTTCATGGACTTCGTCACGATCAGCTCTGCCTACTTCAGACGTCGCCACTCTCTTACCACTTTACCCTGTAGAGTACCCTACTTGTGCCTCATGATGGTCTCCCTTTAGCAGGGTTCCTCTGAGTTGGGCTCTCCCTTGGTATACGCATAGGCATCGAGACCGTAGTGTTGCCCTGGCTTCCCATCTTACGGATTTAGCTCCGACTTCCCTCACTTAAGGAGTCATTTGCATGATTCCCTTACCCATCATCTTTCTACCCTTCGCCGGCCCTCACGCCCTAGTTAGGCAGCCCCGCATGCTTCATCTAGGTGCGCCCAGTATACCAGGCTCCCTTGTTCCCTTGCATGGTCGACCCTCCAGCGGTCACCCCTTAGTCGAGCATTACCCGCCATGATGGTCTATCTGTCAGGGTGGTTCTGTTCGCTCCCAGTTCCCTACTCTCATTGAGCCTGATGACACGTGTTTTCCCCTGTCACTATGTGTGGATGCCCTTAGGAGTTTTCGCCCCCTAGGCTGCATTCGCTACCTTTAGAGACCATCCCGCCCTTTGGTTTGCGACACACTTCTCATGTGACATATGGTTGTCTTGTTGATTGCTTTGTTGCTCTCAGACTGAGGCTACTGCCTCCGACATTTCTAGGATTTAGTTGTTCTGCTTTTGCTGTTCTTAGGACTTATACACTAGTCAGTTGTTATCAGACTGAGGCTAGTGCCTCCAACATTCTAGGATCTTATTGTCACTACTTTCTGCTTTCCTAGGACATGTATGCTAGTTGATTGTTTTTGCTTTCCTATGATATGTATGTTAGTTAGTTGTTTCTGCTTTCACTTTGGCTGTTAGTTGTGACATTGCTGTTTTGTGACATTTTATATCCTAGATTGCATCGCATGGACTCAGCATGGAGCTTGCTCCGCATCCTAGACTACTCAGGTTTTCTTTTCTTTGGTAGAGTTCCGCTTCTTGGCGGAAGCATGTTTGTATCTAGGCGATCCATCACAGGCCGAGGATCGTATAGCGGACCTCGGGTTGGCCTGTGAGACCAGCCCCTTGGCCTGTTCTCACAGGCCTGTATTGTATTCGGGGTAGGCCAGTCCAGGCCGGTACCTCTGTCAGTACCAGCCAGTCCCGTCAGTCCCCTGGGGTATACCCCAGCCATTGTCTGTTTTCAGTCTTATTCTTCACTTGCACATTTTGGAGTATGTGCGTTGGAGTCTTGCGTGGGGAGCTGCGTTGTGCCATCTCGCTCCCCCCTTCTCCCTCCATCTCCATCTTTATCGCTAGCGGAGCACCACACCTGGTGGGTCTTCTACATTGTGTCTGACTGGGTCAACCCAAGGTTAGGAGAGATTCCATAAGATTGGAGGGCCAAAAACTGTGTTTATTTTCGATTGTATGAAGATTGGGTGGTCTGGTTGCTTTGACTTGCGATGACTGTTTGTGCTTGATTCACAGGGACTAAGCATTTTTCTATAAGATTAGATGGCTTGGTCGCCTTGATTCGTTTGGGATTTCTGATGTTTATTAGTTTCTCTTTTGTTTATTTTGAAGGGAATTCAGACGAAAGGCTGGATAGGTTCCTATGAGATTGGGTGGTCTAGTCTGGAGCCACGCACATGCTGAAACAAAAAGGCTAAATTTGTTTATATCTTATATTACTTACTTATGAACAGGCTAGTCAGACATGTTTCCATAAGATTGATGGTATGACTGTAGCTTATCACCAACTGAAGAGAGTACGAATTAAGAATAAAATTGTGGTAAGAAAGGACGAGCTGAATCTTGATATAAGATGACCGGTTCAGTCATATGTTGCCTTAACAGACAAAGTGCAGACAATTATATATAACTTGGATACTTAAATGGTCAAGGACGACTAGGGTGGCCTAGTCAAGTGCCCAAAGAAGAGAAAAGTTGTAGTGCCCTGTGTTTTTGTGTATATTTTATAGTTGAGTTAGAAAGGTTCCCATAAGATTGAGTGGTCTAGCTATATGCCCTATGTAAGTTGGGTATAAAGGGATGGTGAGAGTACTTACCTTTGTGGTTTGACCTTGCATGTGACTGAGTGAGATTACTTAGTCTGAGTTCCAGTTTGATAGGTAGTCGCTTTGGTTTCTCGCCATGTATTAGAGTTCTAGGAGTTAGTTTCAATTCCTGCATTTTTTTAGCTGTTTATTTTTACTTAGCTCGATTTCTGCATTTTCTGGGATCATTTATTATACTTGGTCTTGTATAAATTTTGGTAAGCTACTATCTCTACGGGAATCGCTGTCAAAATTTTTACAAAACTAAGTAATTAGTCAGATTTTGTTTTTTTCAGGGTCTAGCTTTTCTGACTTTTTGACTTAGTAAAAATCTGGAACACCTCATTTTCTAAAGGGAGTGCTACCCAATTTTTTACGAATTCAGGGGGTTAGACAAAATTGGAGTTTGAAAAGTCAAAGTAATTTTTATTCTGAATGTAGCTTTGTATGAATCTTTGGATAACATTTTCTCTACGGGAAGCGCTGCCGAAATTTCTACAAATCTATGAGGTCAGTTAAATTTTGTCTTAAAGTCGAACTCAAGTCTAGCTTTTGAGTTCCTATCTGACTTAGTATAAATTTGAGAAGTCTACCCTTCTAAAGGAGATGCTGCCCAAATTTTTACTAATTCAGGGAGTTAGATAAATTTTAACTTTTTAGAATTAAAGATTGTTCTTGTTTTCATATTTGAGTTAGTATAAATTATGCGACGACACTTTTCCTACAGGAAGCGCTGCCAAAAAAATTATTAGTTTAGAGGAGTTATATTATATTTTGACAGGTGACAGTTCTGACAATCCACTCTGTATAGAAGAGACTCTGTCAGGGTCTACCTTTCTTTGGGCACTGACTTAGAGGCAGACTCAAGCTTAACTTGTAGAAGGACCTTGGGTGATAATGTGTTATGGAGCTGTATTCTTCATACACTTTGATTTTAGTTTGGGGATTGGACTGTCATGTGTTACAAGTCTTCTTGATCGATTAATTCAGGATTTGGGCTTAGATTCAGCTTGAACCTATAATGATCATCTTCTGTTATCATTGATAACAGGTCAGTTGCCTATTCGTCGGTTTACGACTCAACTCCAATCCACGCTTGCCACTCAACCTAAAGGCTTTAGCCTTGTGATTTGAATTGTTTTGTTGTGTTTTCACCTGGACTTTATTTGAATGACCATTTAAAAAAAAATACTGAGTATTTTATTTTGAGGAGTTGCACAAGAGTGAGACTTGCATGGCTAAAGTGAGGGGTGTGATTACAGAGAATGGTTGAATTTGCCCCCGTGTAGTGTATGAATTTTTGGTTGAACCCTTGATGTGATTGCAAGTATGTTTGATGGTTCGGACTTTGGATTTGACTGTCTGCGATCATAAACACGTTTATGGCTGAGAGGAGTCCCACTGTGATTGTGAGAAGTGATCGTCACATATTTATAACCCGCTATATATATGTAAATAAATATGTTTTGAGTGTTTCGCGCGGCCTACTGTGACCGCGTGTAAGGGTGAAACAGATTATATTTTAAGAGAAAAAGGGAGATCCCCTGTTATCCTTTGCTTTTTAGTGTTTCTACAATTAGACGTTGTAGTCCGTGACAACCGTTAAAGTCAAACCCCTTGATTTTTTTTCGTGCCCTGGATGATGGAGTCGGTCTCCAGGGCGATAAGAGACAGTTGTCACCATAGGTATGAATCTGTGTACCACCCACTCTCCGCAGAGTGCAGAAGAGGGTGTGGTTCTCAACCGCACTTGGCGGGTGTCCAGCGTTGAGACATCAATCTGTCAAGGCGCGTGTCAGTCGACACTTGAGTGTTGAATGTGACCATCGAGATTAATAAGGATCGCACAAGTATGAGTACTACATAGTAAGTCATCATTGCGACCGCTTATGTACGCTTTCATTGCGAGTCGATATGAGTTAACCCTGCGTCCGCACGGTTTTATACTAAAGTCTCGCGCGTGACGTCTATCCAATTTCCGCACCGGGGAGTTATGGGATGACTACTAAGGGACTAAGAGTATTGTCGCGTTGTTTGTTTTGTGTTGTTTCGTATATATGTATGTGTGCGTGTTTTTATTTTTATGTCATTTAGAGTGGTCTGCGCGTGGAGTGTGGGATGCGTCCCAGTTGACCGGCGACGAGTCGCGCCTTGGGACCTCAACCCCCCAAGATGTCGGTTCGCGTGCGGGTCCGATAGAGGCGCAATACTGTGCGTACCCCCTATGCTACAGCGTACGAGAAACGCCCTTGGCTAATCCACCTCTTCGATTGCACCTGATTAACTTTCGTACTATGCACTGGTAGCTCGACGGGGATACGCCCACTGAAGGGAGGTGACAACTCCCGTAAGGTGGAGGTAAGTCGTGCCTCGCAGACCCTATCCTGTCGTAGGGGCTCGCAAAAGGTATGGATGGCCCACTCGGCCGTAGCGGCTTGCAGAAGCTCTATGTATATTCGCGACGAAGGAACAAACCAACTCCTGCGTGACGCGGCCGGGAGGGTCCCGCCCTGTTTTGTGTGGTGCCGGACCGATGCGCTCGACATCGGGAGTGCTCCCGGAAGTGAAAACCCGCTCGGGAGTGCCTTTCGCCACACTACACTCTCGACCCGGCCCCGCTTCAAGTTTGAAAATGTCATTTGACATATGTGGAGACGCTCAGTGTGAAGCAGTCTGGCAGAAGTTGTTTATCCCTTCCAGCTCCACTCCCGAATCTGGGATGAAAATCGGAGGAGCGAAGGAGGTCTCTCGAAAAGGCAGCTTTGCGTCCTTCGGGACATTCTTTAACATTGGAACGATACAGAGAAGATTAGCATGGCCCCTCCGCAAGGATGACACGCATAAATCGAGAAAAGGCAGCTTTGCAGGCGGTGAGTTTGGGAGTGCTCTTGGGAGCCATATTATGACAGCTCCCGAATTCAATATGACAGGTTGAACTGGGGAGCTGGTGTGGCGATGCTGCACTCCCGAAAATGGCCAAGTCGGGAGTAGTGTGGCTAGGCCCAAGGCGTTTAGGCTGAAATAGGAATAGGAAGAAAGAAGGGACGGTGGTAGGGGTCATCGTTGTCGTGGGGTTTGGGTTGAGGTGAGGGAAAATGGGGACAGATTTCGGCACTTATTACTCGAACCTCGCAGTAACCGAATTCTCGGGCACATGGATTGATCCTGTCCTTTTGTAAAAAAAAAAAAAAAAAAAAAAAGAATTCTCTGGCACCTCATAGAGGGGTTCGGAATATCGGCAGCTGCGGTACAGCGGTGGTACGTGGGGTAAGGGGCCTCGCCAGACCACTCCCGGATCCCGATTTTTTTTCGGTTCGGGAGTGTCGGGAATCGGGAAATAGCCGTCGAGAGCACTCGTGGTCACACCGCACTCTCGAACGGCCTACTCCCGAATTCGCGAGTCGAGGGGGAGGGGAAAGTGTCCTTTTGTGTGCAGTCACTGGAGTGAGCCGCTTCCACCCAAATCCGTGGCCATAGAGAGGATGTCAGTCGCGACATGCTCTCGGAAATCTAGCGAAGGTCCTCCTCCTCCCAGAGGTCTCCTGAATCGGCCTCTGCCTGCACGAAAAGAATTCGGGAGTGCTCTGGAAAAACCATCCCTGACAGCTCCTGAGTTTATTTCTTCCAGGCGAATTCGAGAGCTGGTGTGGCGATGATTTTGCTCTCGAATTCGGCCATCTCGGGAGATGGTCGAAGTGTACGACGAGGAGGAGGAGGCGGAGGGGGGGGACGGCGACGAGAGGAGTAGAGAGAGATTTTGTCTTGGCAGTGGCATATCCTGTTCTTGGGCGAGTCTGGTTTGTTGCCTATTGTCGCCGTCGTGTATACAGAATTTGGTAGGGTAGGGCAAGAGGAGAGGAGAGACGGTGGAAGGGAAGGCGGGAGGGCGGGTGGGACCGACTGAAGGGTGGTGGTTAGCTGAGGAAGAGAGAAATCCGCGAAGATGGCGTCCGCTAGTGCTCCTATTACCATGAAGGAGGCGTTGGCCCTGACCTCCCTCGGGGTAGCGCAGCAGTTCATCACCTTCACTCACGTCACAATGGAGTCGGAGAAGTTCATTTGTGTGAGGGAGACGGCGCCTCAGAACAGTGTTGTTATCATAGATATGAGTCAGCCTGCGCAGCCGCTCAGAAGACCCATCACGGCCGATTCGGCGCTCATGAATCCGGCGAGCAGGATTCTCGCTCTCAAAGCTCAAGTCCAAGGCGCCAGCCAAGATGCTCTCCAGATATTTAACATCGAGGCGAAGCTTAAGATGAAGTCGTACCAGATGCCAGAGCAGGTGGTGTTTTGGAAGTGGGTGACTCCTAAGATGCTAGGGTTGGTGACGGCCTCCGCTGTCTATCATTGGTCCATCGAGGATGCGACGTCCGAGCCAGTCAAGGTGTTCGAGAGGCACGCGAGTTTGAATGGCAATCAGATCATCAACTACCGAATCGACCCGACGGAGAAGTGGTGCGTGCTCATCGGGATTGCTCCGGGATCACCGGAACGTCCGCAGCTGGTGAAGGGGAGCTTGCAGCTGTACTCGGTGGATCAACAGAGGAGTCAGCCTCTGCAAGCACACGCGGCGGTTTTCGCGCCCTTCAAGTCGCCGGCGAGCGAGGTGCCTTCGGTGCTCATCGCCTTCGCGACGAAGACGATCGACGGCGGGCAGCTGACGTCGAAGCTTCACGTCATCGAGTTGGGAGCCCAGCCGGGCAAAGGAACTTTCCAGAAGAAGCAAGCGGATTTATTCTTCCCGCCAGATTTTGCGGACGACTTTCCCGTTGCAATGCAGGTGTCGCAGAAGTACAGTCTGATCTATGTCGTGACGAAACTAGGTCTCCTCTTCGTCTACGACTTGGAGACGGCCACGGCCGTGTACCGGAACCGAATCAGTCCGGACCCCATCTTCCTCACCACCGATGCGCCGCAGGTTGGCGGGTTCTATGCTGTCAATCGGCGGGGTCAAGTGTTGTTGGCCACGGTGAACGAACAGACCATCATCCCGTTCGTCAGCTCGCAGTTGCAGAACCTGGAGTTGGCAGTGAATCTGGCGAAGCGCGGCAATCTTCCCGGTGCGGAGAATCTGGTCGTTCAGCGATTCCAAGAGCTGTTTGCTCAGATGAAGTACAAGGAGGCGGCGGAGCTGGCGGCGGAATCGCCGCAGGGCTTGTTGCGAACTCCGGAGACCATCGGCAAGTTCCAGAGCGTCCCTGTGCAACCCGGGCAGACCTCCCCGCTCCTGCAGTACTTCGGGTCGCTGCTGACGAAGGGCTCGCTCAACGCCTTTGAGTCGTTGGAGTTGTCCCGCCTCGTCGTTAATCAGAACAAGAAGAATCTGCTGGAGAATTGGCTGGCGGAGGACAAACTGGAGTGCAGCGAGGAACTCGGCGATCTCGTGAAGACCGTAGATTCGGACATGGCGCTGAAGATCTACATCAAGGCGAAGGCGACTCCGAAGGTGGTCGCGGCGCTTGCGGAGCGCAAGGAGTTCGACAAGATCCTCATCTACTCCCAGCAAGTCGGCTACACGCCGGACTACCTCTACCTTCTGCAGTCGATAATGAGAACAGACCCCGCGGGCGCAGTCGACTTCGCCTCGAGGATGGCGCAGATGGAGGGCGGCAGCCCGCTGGACGTGAACACGGTCGCGGAACTCTTCTTCCAGCGCAACATGATCCGCGAGGCCACGGCTTTCCTGCTCGACGTGCTGAAACCCAATCTTCCGGAGCATGCCATGCTGCAGACCAAGGTCTTGGAAATCAACTTGGTCACCTACCCCAATGTTGCAGATGCGATTCTGGGCAATGCTATCTTCTCTCATTACGACAGGCCGCGAATCGCGCAGCTGTGCGAGAAAGCGGGACTTTACATGCGAGCGCTTCAGCACTACACGGATCTTCCCGACATCAAGCGCGTTGTGATCAACACGCACGCCATCGAGCCGCAATCCCTGGTGGAGTTCTTCGGCACGCTGTCGCGCGAGTGGGCGCTCGACTGTATGAAGGAGCTGCTGCTTGTCAATATCAGGGGCAACTTGCAAATCATCGTCCAAGTGGCGAAGGAGTACTCGGATCAGCTTGGAGCCGATGATTGCATCAAGCTGTTCGAGAGTTTCAAGTCGTTCGAGGGGCTGTTCTTCTTCCTGCAGACGTACATTGCGCAGACCGAAGACCCGGACGTGCACTTCAAGTACATCGAGGCGGCTGCGAGGATGAATCAGCTCAAGGAGGTGGAGCGGGTGACCAGAGAGTCCAACTTCTACGACCCGGAGAAAACCAAGAACTTTTTGATGGAGGCGAAGCTGAGTGACGCGCGGCCTCTCATCAACGTGTGCGACCGCTTCAACTTCGTCCCCGACCTCACTCACTACCTCTACGCCAACAACATGCTGCGATACATCGAGGGCTACGTGCAGAAGGTGAACCCGGCCAACGCGCATCTCGTCGTGGGTCAGCTCATCGACGACGAGTGTCCGGAGGAGTTCATCAAAAACCTAATTCTGTCGGTTCGCAGTCTGCTGCCTGTGGAGACGTTGGTGGAAGAGTGCGAGAAGCGGAACAAGCTGCGGCTTCTGACGCAGTTCTTGGAGCATCTTGTGAGCGAGGGGAGCACGGACGTTCACGTGCACAACGCCTTGGGGAAGATCATCATCGAGACGAACAACAACCCGGAGCACTTCTTGACCACCAATCCGTACTACGATTCTCGAGTTGTGGGCAAGTACTGCGAGAAGCGCGACCCGACGTTGGCGTGTATTGCGTACAAAAGGGGGCAATGCGATGACGAACTCGTCAATGTCACGAACAAGAACTCGCTGTTCAAGATGCAGGCCAGATACGTGGTGGAAAGGCAAGACGACGTTCTCTGGGGGAAGGTGCTCACGCCGGAGAATCAGTTCAGGCGGCAGCTCATTGATCAGGTGGTGTCGACGGCGCTGCCGGAGAGCAAGAACCCGGAGCAAGTGTCGGTGGCGGTGATGGCGTTCATGAACGCGGATCTGCCGCACGAGCTCATTGAGCTTCTGGAGAAGATTGTCCTCCAGAACTCCGCCTTCAGCGGGAACCCTAATCTGCAGAACCTGCTCATTCTGACGGCCATCAAGGCGGACAAGACTCGAGTTATGGACTACGTCAACCGGCTCGAGAACTTCGATGGGCCGGCGGTGGGTGAGATTGCCGTGGGCGCGGAGCTGTACGAGGAAGCGTTCGCTATTTTCAAGAAGTTCAATCTGAACGTGCAGGCGGTCAACGTGTTGCTTGACAACATGAGGAGCATCGAGAGAGCGGTGGAGTTCGCGACGCGTGTGGAGGAGGACGAGGTGTGGAGCCAGGTGGCGAAAGCGCAGCTGAAGGAGGGGCTAGTGTCGGACGCCATCGAGTCGTTTATAAGGGCAAGCGATGCGACGCAGTTCACGGATGTGATTAGGGCGGCAGAGCAGGCAGAGGTGTTCCAAGACCTTGTCAAGTACTTGCTGATGGTCAGGAAGAAGGTGAAAGAGTCGAAGGTGGACACCGAGCTCATCTATGCCTATGCGAAGATCGACCGTCTGGGCGAGATAGAGGAGTTCATTTCGCTGCCGCACGTTGCGAACATCCAGACGGTCGGCGACCGCTGCTTCGACGAAGCCCTCTACGAGGCGGCGAAGATCCTTTTCACCCACGTCTCCAACTGGCAGAGGCTGGCAGTAACCCTCATCAAGCTTCGGCAGTTCCAGGGAGCGGTGGACGCGGCGAGGAAAGCGAACAGCACTCGGACATGGAAGGAGGTGTGCTTCGCGTGCGTGGATGCGGAGGAGTTCCGCCTTGCGCAGCTCTGCGGCCTCAACATCATTGTGCAAGTCGACGATTTGGAGGAGGTGAGCGAGTACTACCAGAATAAGGGGAGGTTCGATGAGCTCATCAGCCTTATGGAAAGTGGCTTGGGATTGGATCGGGCCCACATGGGTATCTTCACGGAACTGGGAACGCTGTACGCAAGGTACAGGCCGGAGAAATTGATGGAGCATTTGAAGCTCTTCTCCACAAGAATCAACATCCCCAAGCTCATCCGTGTCTGCGACGAACAGCAGCACTGGAAAGAGCTCACCTTCCTGTACATTCAGTACGACGAGTACGATAACGCAGCGACTGTCATCATCAATCACTCGCCGGAGGCCTGGGAGCACATGCAGTTCAAGGATGTGGCGGTGAAGGTCGCCAACGTGGAGCTCTATTACAGGAGCATTCAGTTCTACTTCCAGGAGCACCCAGACTTGTTGAATGACCTCCTGAACGTGCTTGCTACGCGGGTTGACCATAGCCGTGTCGTTGACCTCATGAAGAAGCATGGGCAGTTGGCCTTGGTGAAGCCTTACCTGGTTGCAGTGCAGAGCAACAATGTCGCGGCCGTCAATGACGCTCTCAACGACCTGTACATCGAGGAAGAGGACTACGATCGCCTGCGCGAGTCCATTGACATGTACGACAACTTCGACCAGATTGGCCTTGCGCAGAGGGTTGAGCGGCATGAACTTCTCGAGTTCAGACGTATTGCGAGCTACATATACAAGAAGAACCAGAGGTGGAGGCAGTCTGTCGCGCTGTCGAAGAAGGATAAGCTGTACAAGGATGCTATGGAGACCTGCGCGGTGTCGGGAGACAGAGAGCTAGCAGAGGAGCTGCTTGGCTTCTTTGTCGAACAAGACAAGAAAGAGTGTTTTGCCGCTTGCTTGTACACGTGCTACGATCTCATTCGCGTGGATGTGGCGTTGGAACTTGCCTGGATGAACAATATGGTCGACTACTGCATGCCCTACTTGTTGCAGTTCATGAGAGAGTACACTGGCAAGGTGGACGAGTTGGTGAAGGACAAAGAAGAGCTTCTGAAGCAGAGGAGCGAGATGGCTCAGGAGGAGAAGGAGGCTGTTGCCAAGCAGAACATGTATGCATCTCTCATGCCGCTGGCACTCCCAGCACCCCCAGCTATGATGCCAGCTATGATGTGGGCTATGATGCCGGCTATCGTGGCGTTCCCCCCATGCATTGGGTGGAATGCGTACGGAATGCCCCCCATGACAGGTTACTAGGTGAGACTTTGACGTTGTGAGCATTGTCTATTGCTTCCGGTGTACCCCCTCCACCTCCCCCCTCCCCCCCCCCCAACCAAAAGCTGTTCAGCATCTTTTGCATCTTGCATTGGAGGATGACGGAGGTGGAGGACAGTCTGATTCATTATGGTGGTCGGAGTCCGGATTTTGTTCTGGGATGGTCAAGGCGTCTTGGAGGTACATATATATATATATTGTCGAGCAGACGACGTGCCATCTCACTGATTTCTGCTGTTTGGCAGATGCATGTGTGTCGGTCGTTTTGCTGTCGCTGCGGATCGAACCTGTGATCCGTCCTAACGGAGCCGTGTGTTGTGGAAAAGAGCTTTGCTGGGTTCTGATTCCGGACCCTATATTCTTAGTAGGTAGTACCAGTAGGTGAATAAGAGTGGGAAACTCATAACCTCTCCCCTTTTTAGCCTTTTTTCTCCCCCCTATAGCTGGTCCTAGGTACAAATGTAGTTCCTATAGGCTCTCAACTTCTTCTACAAGCCTAGATTTCTCCCGGTTGAGCTGAAGGAAGCTTTTCCCAATAGAACAACTCGACAGTTGCCCTCTCTCTGGAAAGAAGGCAGGTTGCAGCACCCAGGCCGATGCCTGGATCTTTTCCCTATGCCTGCCTGGTATTGCTCTCCCTTTGACTTCATCGTGATGCTGTCTGGCCGACGATGCTACGTCCTAGATGCTTGCTGCTCCTGCTGCAGCTGCTGCTGCTGTTCCATCTATCCCTAGCGATGGAGAGGGAGCTCCTTCTATCCCTAGGGAGGAAGAGGGAGCTGAAAGCACAACTTGAGGTAGTCACCCGGTGTAGACAGAACAGTTGGAGACAGGTAGAGAGTTGTGTAGCCAGAGAGTAAGAGAAGGGGGGGTGAAATGGTCGTGGAGGAGGGGGGTGGGGTTGTGAACCGTGTTGGCAATCTTTCCTGTGTGGCGGATAATCTTATGCCAGCTTGCATCCTGTGACTGGAGAACATCATCTTTTTATGAGGAAGGAACAAAGGGAGGTGGTATCTGTGGTAGTGGACCTGAAGAGTGGGCTAAGTGCGTGGCGTTAGAACTTACAAGTGATTTAATCTGTGTTTGTGTAATAATCCATTTTGTTGTGCTTATGCTGTCCACCATGTATGAGTTGTGTGGACCGAATCTTGAGGGACTTTTAGTGTGCACTTCATATATGTGTGCTGCCCCAGCTCAAAGAAAACCTCTCCACGCTTGACCTCCTTCGCCCTTTTTTCACACATGCACTGGTTAAACAGAAATAGAGGAGGAGAAAGAAATCTATCCATGCGAGAAATAGAAGGAAAAAAGAATCTATTCATGCTATTACAGTAGTGAGTTGTCCAGTATGGGTGATAGTGGAGTTCTTAGTGCAGTATAGAGGAAATGTTCACATTGCAGAACACATGACAGCAAGGAACTTCTCTGTCTGTTTTGGGTATGATCTCTCTCTCTCTCTCTCTCTCTCTCTCTCTCTCTCTCTCTCTCTCTCTCTCTCTCTGTGTGTGCCTGATTCCTCCTCCTGATCTTTCTATGACTTGTCTAATTCCCTTTTTTCAGCGTGCATTCCTGCTTTTGCGGGGGGCCCACGAGAAATATCCTGCCGGGAAATTGTGGAAGATTCATTATTGCTAGCACACCTTGAGCCTCAACGGTGCATTATCTACAATTGGACTGTCCTCAGGACACAGGTCAGAAGTCTACGGGCGACCTTGCCTCACACGCGCTACATGCCGCCGCACCCGGAGTTTAGCTCCATCCTTCCACCAGTGTGAGTAATGGTGGAATGCAGCCACTCGCCCACGGCTTCCGCGTCACCACTGTCCCTCCCGACAAATCATAATTGATTCCCCCATGGTGGAGCGAGTTATGCGATGTATCGAGCGCCGTAGGAAAGTGAAGATGAAACGGCTGTAGGAATTTGGACCTTGAACACTGCTACAGAGTCTCCCAGTCGGTGCTTTCTGCCAGCCACGGAGGCCTCAGGGATGGTGCCGTCAGTTCTTAGGGATGTTGCCGCCAGTCCTTGGGGACGGTACCATGCTTGTGGCCCCGCCAACAAGCCGGCGAATACCTCTGAGCTACGATTTCAGCCTGTAAGGGTGACACCGAAGCTGTGGGCGGGTGGATGCATTCCAACATCACTCACACTGGTGGAAGGACGAAGCTAAACTTCCGGTGCGGTGCCGTTTGTGAGGGCGGGAGTGAAGTGGAAAATGGAGTCAGCGCCCTCGCCGCAGCTGCTGCTAATCAACGAGCACTTAGTTTTGCGTCCCTGAAGGCTATATGACCAACGACCAAGTTAATGGGGTTTACTTTTAACCCACTTTGTCCTTCGATTCTTGTTGGTCATTATTGACTATAGCCGACTGTTGTCGACTCAAGTGATTGGTTTTGGTTCATGTGATGGCATTTGTTGCATTGGAGGTTTAGGTTTGTTTGTGTGTGAAGTACAGTCCTTACAGAGTTCAGGGTTAGGTGGAGAGAGAAGGGAGCCGGAGAAATGATTCCTTCCCGTCCCTGGACACAAGGTGGTGGAAGATGAGGGAGAGAGATAGAGTAGGAGTGGTACTAACTGGAATTGGTGGTGGCTTGTTGGTAGAAGTTGACAATTGGCATTGTTGCAAGGTGTTTTAGGAAAGTGGAGATTGTACGATGGAGGGCCAGTAGGTGCTTTCTGCCAGCCACGGAGGCCTCGAGAATGGTGCCCTCAGTTGTCGAGGATGCGGCTGTCAGTCAACATGGTCCTGGCATCCCATCCCTGTCAGAAAAGGCCCTGCCAACAAGCCGATAAGTACCTCTATGCTACGATTTTAGTAGGAAACAGACTCAAGGTGAGGTGAACGGTCAAGGTACAGTTCTGAGAACAATTTATCACGGGGGAAAACACTCAAGGTCGGCCGTGAACTTCTACGCACAATCCTAACGACAATCCACTTGTAGAGAATCCACCGCTCAGGCTCAAGGTGGGATGACAAGAATGAATCTTCTGCGATTCTGCAGAAAGATTCATTCTCATCCCCACCCCCCCGTCTCTCTCTCTCTCTCTCTCTCTCTCTCTCTCTCTCTCTCTCTCTCTCTCTCTCTCTCTCTCTCTCTCTCTCTCTCTCTCTCTCTCTCTCTCTCTCACACACACACACACACACACACACACACACACACACACACACACACACACACACACACAAAGGCGACCTGTTTTTCGTGGTGTTGCTATGAATCCTGTAGACCATCCTCATTGTGGAGAAGGACGTACACCAAAGGTCCGTTTCTCCTTGGGGAAAACCAACGAAAGGTGGATTTAAAACAGTAGTAAGAAAACAATAGAATTAAGTTATGTCTGTTGAAAAAGCGTTCGTGTGTGGCGTGCCTGAGTCGGAAAATTTGGTCACGTAGTTCTTTTATTTTGCCTAAATTTGCTCGTTAGTATGCTCAAGTTTGTAATGGAAAACATGGTGCCATCCCCGAGGACTGACGACACCATTCCGGAGAACTGACATCACCATCCCCAAGGCCTCCGTGGCTGGCGGAAAGCAACGATTGGGAGACTGCCTTGTTGCTCGGTTTTCATATATGAACTGTAGGCAGAGAGGGAAGGAGAAGAGGACAACAAACGAGGGGCTGTGACAAACTGTTTCGTCGGGAGTTATATACATATGATGAATGGGTAAAACTCCGTCGGAACAGTTTGTCACAGCCCCTCGTTTGTTGTCCTCTTCTCCCTTTTGTCCCTCTCTGCCTACGGTTTACCGGCCAGCTCTGTTTGATGACGATGTATATTAGACAGAGCTTCGCGGTAAACCGTAGGCAGAGAGGGAGAAGAGGACAAGAAACGAGGGGCTGTGACAAACATCATCACAGCCCCTTGTTTCTTGCCCTCATCTCCCTCTCTGCCTACGGTTTGCCGGGCAGCTCTGTTTGACGATATATACATATCGTCAACAGAACTGCCCAGTGAACCGTACGGAGAGAGGGAGAAGAGGACAACAAACCAGGGGTTGTGACAAACTGTTTCGTCGGAGTTCGGACGGGCCGAATACCTGAACCTGAACGCCCGAACGTTCGGGACCCCCTCTGGACGCGTTCGGCCGAATGCAGACCCAAAAGAACAAAAAAATAATTTCGAAAAAGCTGAAAAAACAAATCGTTATGCAGAAGAATAAAGTGAACAACATTTGCCTGAACGTTACATCCAAATTCTTTACCACATTTGAAATAAAATTCAACTATGAAAAATAAATAATAATAATGAAAAAAAAAAAAAAACGAGAATGAAATTATTGAGTGGACATGCCATCTTTGGCAATTTTTCGTTTTACTGGCTGTGACGAATGCCTTGAGGAAAATTTATGTATGTGTATCTTATCTTACATAATAGAGAATCTACAAATAAGGTTTGAAAAAATAATGTTTTTCATGCGCCGAAATAAAGGAAAAACAAAAAGGGGAAAGAGAAAAAACAAATTACCGAGTGGGCAAGCAAGTGTTGACACCATCATCTTTGCCGGTTTTTCATTTTTTTTTGGCTGAACAGAATGCCTTCAAAATTAGGAGTAATATACCTTACATTACAAAGAACTCACAAAAAAGACTTTCAGAACAAAATTAATAATATTTAGGTGCAAAATAGTTTTTTGCGGGGTCTAATCCCCTTCGGGTTCGGGCCCCGTCTGGGGACCCGAATGTGCGAACGTCCAGGGGTCAGCTTATTAGGGGACTCCGTACTTTCGGCCTGGCAACCCTATATATATGTATATATGTATATATACGGTTTGTCACAGCCCCTCGTTTGTTGTCCGTTTTTTCCTCTCTGCCTATGTACATGTATATTTACTGGTAAACCGTAGGCAGAGAGGAAGGGAGAAGAGGACAACAAACGAGGGGCTGTGACAATCTGTTTCATTGGAGTTTCACCTACCTACTCGTCAGGAGGCTGAACCCTCCACAGCCTGCAGAATCCCTTAAGTGATTACACTGTAAGTGATAATCCACCTTAACCCCCAGCTATGGTGAAGCATCAACGATTACTTGACAACTGATACCCTGAGGTGGTGGGGACCACCAACCACTACCCTCAAGGTACCTGTGACGAAAATAAAAGCAGACTATCACTCACCCACACCAGATGGAAAACTCTACAGACTGTCAGTGCACACCCAATTACAAGCCTGCAAAACACCCACAAAACAAAGAAAGCTCTGTCACAACCAAAATATGCATGTGTGCGCGCGCGCGCGCGCGAGAGAGAGAGAGAGAGAGAGAGAGAGAGAGAGAGAGAGAGAGAGGGAGAGAGAGAGAGAGAGAGAGAAGAACGAGAGTGTCTAAACTTATGTCTTTTTTTGTGTTGCACGTCGTTTCCACATGGCACCTTCAAGAATCCACCGAAGAGCTAAGTTTTTTTTACGACTCTTTGGTATAATGGATGAGACTAATTGGGTGGTTCCGGAGATTCTGACTTTTCTTACTTTTAAAATAGGTTTAACATTTTCAATTGCGTCAACAAAATGTGTGCTCTCTCTCATGTCTCTCTTTCCCTTCCCTTTGAGACCTCATCACTCCCTGTCGCTCTCTCCCTCTCGTGTCTCGACCCTTCCCTTTGATACCTCATTGCTCCCCCCCCCCCCCCCCCCCTCTCTCTCTCTCTCTCTGAGCGATGAGCGATGAGCGATGAGGTTTCAAAGAGAAGGGTCGTCCTCCTCGGTGCTGTAAGAGGATTCCACCTTCGTGAGGGAGGAGAGACGACAGAGAAAAATGTGGAGTACTGATTTCCGAAGAAGTTGTGACACATAGCACCGAGGAGGACAACCTTGCCCATGGAAACCCCATTGCTACTTCCCCCCTCCCCTTTCTCCTCAAATAGGGTCAAGCAGTTCACACATGTGTGAAAGGAGTCAGAGTTAAAAGTGACCTTGAGTGATATATGAACATGAATGGGGGAGGTAATTAGCATGCGGAGAAAGGAAAAAATTGGCTACCCGCTCCTGGTGCTCGACCAAGTAGGATGATCCTACCCTTGGAAACCTCATTGCTACTTTCCCCTCCCCTCTCTCCTGTGCTCCCTATCTCGCTCTTTCGTGTTTTTCTCTCTTTTGTGTCTCTCCAACCTCATCGCTCCCAGTCTCTCTTGGAGAGACACAGGAGAGAGCGATAGGGAGCGACGAGGTTTCAAAGGGAAGGGTCATCCTGCTCGGTGCTCTGAAGGAGAAGAGATAAAAGGAAAGATGGGGAGTGGAGGAGAGAGGATTTCCAACAGCAGGGTGTTCTCCTCGGTGCTATGTGCCAACCTCTTTGGAAATCAGCACAAGAGGGGCAATGCGAATAGCGATATCTAACCGCTGTTGACGCTCAACTTTGCCGTTGTTCGCATCACCCCTCTTGCGCTGATTACCGAAGTAGTCGACACATAGCACATAGGAGGTCGACCCTGCCCTTGGAAACCCAATTGCTACTTCTTCCCTCCCCTGTTTCCTCCAATAGGGTCAAGGGAAGTGTAGGTTCACACAGGTTGAAAGGAGTCGGTGTCAGGACTGACCTTGAGTGATATATGGATCGACTCACTCAAGAAATCCAAGTGATAAAAGTGATCTCAATCGAGTAGAAGATAATTCTCATAAAAGTCAAGTACATCCTGCTGCAACCTCGCAATCAAATGATAGCCGGCATCTATTTTTAATTAATTTATTTTTTTAAGAAAACATTTGCCGCGGGTGTGGGGGAGGTGGCGGTAGGAACGGCCACCCCCTCCACCAATCCCGCTTTGTTGATGGCTCCGTTGCATTCGTGGGAAGCTGCACCTGCTGGAAACCAGGTCAAGCATCCCTTTACACGTGTGCATGGAGCCAAGTCGCATTGTTTGAAGGAGTCGTTGAATAGTGTAGACCTATCTTCTAAGAAACACATAGAGGCATTATTAAAATAAGTCATTCTCCACATACCCAAACAGACAAAGCTTAGGCCCACTGAAAGGACTTAACTGACATAATGCAGCACATTATCGAGCGCATCAGTCCCCGCAAGTGAATAGTTTTCCCAAAGTCACACCTTCACTACTTTGGCGGGTGAAAAACTCTGATTTTTCCCGGCATTGTACTCTGCCCATGCAAATCTTGTCGAGGTCATTGGCGGCCCCCACTGACAAACACAACATGACAACCAAGACACTTCATGCACCCTGTTACATAAACTCTAACACTGCCTCATGCGAGTCAATGGAGGTCACTTTGGATGATGGTACTGACAATCAACTCGGACATGAAAAATTGTCAGCCTCTACATACGCGCACACGGTACCGATAATAATATTTTTTTTCTTTCTATCTCGCACTATTATGCATAATCGCTTGTCATACTCCGTTTTACGAAATAGCTACATATCTCAGTAATCAACGTGCCCACCCAAAATGCATACTCACACAGTCTCTTACCTAACCATACGCGTGCTCGCGGAAAGGGCTTTCGAATTGCGGGTTGTGGGAAAATAACTATGCGATTGCCTCAAACATCACTACAGACGTGGTTCATGCGAGCCGCATAAATATGGCCAAATACCCTTGTAAGGTTATTTGGTCCGACACTGTTTCTGGATCCTATCACCCGTCGCACTAGGCGCTTGGGTCTTAAATCTAACCTTTCCTTCCTTATTCTTTTCAAAACCTTTAGAGATCAAGCAATGTCATCCTTAAGGGTTTTATACTATGGTCAACCTTCTATCGCTTGGGCAACATTTCACTAGTCATTCCCACCTCATCTTAATAGTGGACTGTTAATTTTTTATGAACAATATCACTTCTTGAAACTATGTTGAAATAAAAAATGTTTTCCTTGGCATTCTCAATTTTAAATTTTCACATTCATTTTTTTTCCCCTTCTTTTTTAGAAACACATTTGCATTACCATACTTCAATATTTAATCCAACGTTCAAAGTTCAAACTCATCACATGATTCCTTAAAATACAAAATGTACAAAAACACAAACTTACGAATAATTACAAATTTTCG